GTATGTGGCCATGATGCGATGACTCATCGAATCAAAAGCGGATTGCCGTATGCAGTAATGCACTTGGAAATCAAAAAAGTGATCCTCAGGCTAGCGAAACAAAAAGTAGTTTAAAATCTTCTTTAGGCTAAACCATATCGATTCGTAAAATCAGATCCTTCTGGCCAGATCGATTTAAGATAAAAAATAGAGTGGAATGTTATCCACATTATACCGAAACAACGTAAAGGAGTCTTCAGTGGAACACTAATCATGACACTTGATTCAGCCAATGTATGATGCTCAGCGCGAAAAAATTTTACTAATTAGAGAAGAGAGGGAAAAGGAGACAAGGCGTCCGATGATCTCGGACATATACCAGGACATGTTTTTCTTGTGCCTAATACTTAGTTAACTGTCCTATTCTCAGAATTCTCAGAATTTTTACTCTATTTGCTACTATGCTTCTCTTATAGTAACTCATTATGTATGGCGATTCTATCAATATCGATATGCATAGAGAAGAAGACGACGATAATTAGAAGCAAGCAGGAGTGAGATTTCACCTGATATATCTGAAATGTTTGGGAAAACCTGACAATCACCTTTTGAGCAAAAAACCTCAAATTTCCAAGAAGTTTTATACTAAGGATGACTTTCTCCTATTTCTACAAAAACTAATCAAAAACAATCCTATTATAAATCTCTAATTAAATATATCAATACAGATGATATACCCAGGTCGAACGATACGGTCCATATACGGACCGTATTCGGACCGTCTACTGGACGCAGGAATACGGATCGTAACATCATTAAAATAGAGTCGTATGCGGCCGTATTTTCACAATATACGGCCCCGTAAACGGTACCGTTTCTGGGCACAATAATACGGGGTTGTATACTGTGAAAATACGGCCGTATACGGCTCTATTTTAATGATGTTACGGTCCGTATTCCTGCGTCCAGTAGAAGGTCCGTAACGGATATGCGTTTTGGTCGACCTGGGTATACCTGCAGATCCTATTCTAAATATATGACTAAGAATCTTTCAAAGAATTCAAAATTAAAACTGTATGTAAAGGGTTCAAACCTGAAGTGTTTTCTGTTCCTGTTCATAACATTTGTGATCTTACTGGTACACAGTATTGAACATGTGTTTTCTTTGCGTAATAAGACGTCTTATTCATTTCATGTCGTGTTTTAGATTCATTTTAGTAAAGACAAAAACATCATCATTTAGGAATAATCTAATGAAGCGAGTGAGTGTTTCTTGATTTGCTATAGAAAGGAAATGTCTATTTATTTTTTATTTATTTCTAGCCTATCATCATCAAAGACGCATTAAATCTTCAACATATGGCTGTTCTAGCTGTCGATTCTGAAGTAAGGTTGGTTGTTCTATAGATTTTATCTTTCTTGGACGTTTAGGTTAACCTAGTCCTTTTTATTGAATATGCGTGTATTTTGATTTTATTTAGCGTGATCAACGTCGTTACTTTGAGCAAAAAACAGCATTGATTCAAATATACGAAAGATTATGATCTCCAATTATCCGTTATGTGAACGAATGTGCAGGTTTAGAACTTCATTTCACCTTGTGTTTTCTGTGCGTAATTTCTCTTCTCTGATTTCTTCTGTTTTCAGATCAGCTCATGATGTGAAAAAACACATAAAAATTTTGTGGAATTGGGATCAATGATGTACTGCTGAATGTTTTGGACGAAATTTTTGGTATACTGTCAACATACGCTGCGTGTAAGTTGATCTGATCAAGAAACGTTTTTGTCGATTGTGCTAATTGATGAATTCTGGTTCGTTTTAGCATTTTATTTTGAAACAAGTCTCAGTGATTGCTCTGAACAAATTGTGAGTAAAAGTTTCTTCTTTATCATTTGTTTCCTGGAGTTCATTGAACATTATTCAAGAAATCAGTGGAAGAAGTTGTAGTCCTACTGATCTGATTTCATAAAAGAAAACTTTTACTCTTTTTGCGTTGTCTACCTTTCTTCTGTCTTGTTTAGGTCACCTCATTATCTCAAATTTATTTTTCCCAGCCACATCCATCTCAGCAGTCGGTAGAATTAGCCTTGCGGGCTAGCCCGCTGAAGACGGAGCCACTTACGGTTCATGTTACTTCTGTTGTCGATGGTCACATTCAAGAACAAAACGAATCAAATATCGTGAGTACCGGGGGCCAGTTTCTTAAAAAACTTAACTTAAATGAAAAACTAAATTGCGCTTAAGTTAAACTTAATTTTTTACTTAAGCGTGTTTCCTAAAAAGACTTAAGTCAGGCAGAGATCATGCAGTAAAAGCAATGGATATTTTAGACAATTTAGATTGTTTGAAAAAAATCTTATGAACAAAATTTCTCTAAAACCATGTTCTATCTAATTATGGTCGGTTTGACCAGGAATGGATGTAAAGTAAAGAAGTTAAAATATAAACAATTGTATACGCAAAAAAAATTTAAATCGAAGTTAAGGAAGGCCGAAAAATTACTTAAGTTAGGATATTTTAAGTACAGCGTTTAATACAGCGTTTTCACTATATTAGAGTTACACCTGAAGGGCGTCCCAAGATTTTTAATAGCAGTCTGTCGTAGAGAGTTCATTCTTTTTTTGTTTTAAAGAGGAAAAGAAACTACATCGACTGACCGGCGTCGGCCGCCGTTTGAATTAGGCCGTAGTTTTTTGTCAAACTGAGGATTTTTCGGGTTTCGGAGGTTGTTGGTTGCCTGGAAAACCAATAAAGGCTTAATTGAAAAATCGGCGCCGGTCAGTCGATGTAGTTAGGTGTTTAGTTTAAAAAAAAAAAACCCGAACTCTCCAGCTAGAAGTATATTANTTTTGTTTTAAAGAGGAAAAGAAACTACATCGACTGACCGGCGTCGGCCGCCGTTTGAATTAGGCCGTAGTTTTTTGTCAAACTGAGGATTTTTCGGGTTTCGGAGGTTGTTGGTTGCCTGGAAAACCAATAAAGGCTTAATTGAAAAATCGGCGCCGGTCAGTCGATGTAGTTAGGTGTTTAGTTTAAAAAAAAAAAACCCGAACTCTCCAGCTAGAAGTATATTAAAAAATCTTGGGATGCCGTTCAGGGTCCTTTTTGGAACTTGATCTCTGGAAAACTCCTAAACCGTAAGACTTGGAGACAAATTCCCGTAACTCTTTGTGCCTAACATTTATGAAAAGTTTCGTGAAGATCGGATGTGCGGTGTCGGAGATAATTTCTGAGGGAGGGGCGGGCCCTTAAGTCAGATTTTCTACTTAAGTTTTTTTAGGAAACTGGTGTTTTAAGAAACGTCATTTGTAGAAGACGTTATGTACGAGACGGTTTATTTTTTGCAAGTTATGTGTAAGCATGTTTTGAAATATTATCCAAGACATTTTTTCTTTAATTTGCAAAAACAGATCTAAACATTTTTTTGTTGCTTTATCTTTTTAGATTCTGATCGTTCTAAAAAACTTGGTTTTAATGAATATATACAATCAGATCCATGTAAATTTGAGCATCATGATTTATTTAAGTATCTACAAACAGCCACATTGGATTTTCAACTTAGTGATCTTAATTGTTCGTTGGTAAGTGTTTCGTTTTCTCTATCCTTTTGTTCACTCTATCCTGTCTGTGAGTCCCAATCATAATGTGAGCTAACGACAAATCAAATGTCCTTAACAGCATAAAAATTTTGACACATTTCTAAAGTATGCTAAAGATGCCTTTCATTTATATCAATCTTATGTCTTAGAAAAATATTGTGCACGTACGTCATTGTCTGAGGTACTTGTATTCTCTATCAGATTTACTCGTTCGAGCTGAACAAAACTTTATGATGGATCCACAATTATTACACTATAGTTATGTACATTGTGTAATACATGTATCTGGAATTGGGTTAGTCAAATATGAAACGATTAAATCATTGACAGAAGAAGTTTTATTCTATATCATTTTATTTATTGTAGATCAGACAGTAACATTGCTACAATAAGTGTAGAAGAAAGAGTTCGATTCAATGAAATTAAAGGTCTAAAACAATTTCTCGAACAACAAGTAACAAATTTTCGGTAAGTGTTTTATACTAGATTTCACATAAAATAAATAATATGTTCATGTTTTGTCACTTAAGCGTTTCATTTCCATTTGGACGACCAGATGGTGCTATAAAAGCGACACTGAGTTTATTAGAACGTGTATTAACTAAAGATACTTCAACGCCAACATCACGCGATGAAATGACGCTCTTGAGAACGCAGCATACATTAGTTACACCAGAGTATCAGAGCACACAAACATAGGAGGTAAATTCATTACTTTAAAAAGCAAACATGGATTAATATATTTTGTCTATATTAGTTTCGGGCTAGACATGCGCCGAGTCTTTCGCTAAAGATTTTTATTAAATGTTTAAAATTCTTTAATTTATACAACGAGTTTTACTAAATAAGTTGGTTGGTCATTGTCCATTTTTCTTAAACCAACTGAAATATATTTTTAACTTATAGGACTTATTAATTGAACATAAAGAAATATTTTGGTCTTTGTTTGCTGTTGATATGGATTATGTTATTGATCAATAGGCAGTCGAAAGTTGAGATAGTTTTTCATTATTTCGACTACTAAATGTAAATGATTACCTGAGAAATCATGGTAAAACAACGTTGTTGTGTGGTGTGTGTAATTTAAACTAAGTCAGTTGTCTTCTCTTAAAGAAACTTTACGAAATGGTCGTTTTCATCAACAATTACGAGATACATTTGCACCATTAGTCGTTCGTTATGTTGATTTAATGGAATTGTGTATTGTTCAATCAATTCACAAAGGATTCGAATAAGAAAACTGGAAATCGAGAACGTATGTACAGTTTCAGGTTCTCTCTGAAGGTATTTCTATAAAAATACAACAGTTGGAGTATTTGCGTAAGTACTTATATCTAACCAATTTTTAGTCGTGGTTGTGCAATAAGTGAAGATATGCTATGGAAATTAGATGCATTACAATGTTTCATAAGAGACTTGCATTGGGTTAGTACTATATAATATTTTTATTCATTATCTTTTATATTAAATTTATCTTTCTTTTTCCTTGCTAGCCTGACAAAATATTCGGAGAACATCTTGAAAAGCGTTTAAAGCAAATGACATCCGATGTGATTGAAGTGTGTGCTAAACGGTAATAACACTATATCTATTACTGAAAAGAATTTAACGGACATATTACTGTGTTTAGTGTGTGTCGTCATTTTCAGTATGGCAGTATGGCTTAAAAAAGGTGGTCTTGTGGGAGGCACAGGAATAGATTATTTATTACCGAGTGAATGTTGGGCGATGATTAATGTTATTCTAGACTGCAAGTCACAAGTAAAGACTTTTCTCAGGTACATATATATATAATATCAGCAATAAGTGTGTTTGTTGGTTTTTCTTTAGGCACTGAAGTTATGTGCATTAAATAGTGAAGATTTACATCAGTATCATACAAAAATTGACGAATATCTAGGAAAAATTCTTAGCGAAATGTCAAAATCAGTAATTCAGAAACTAGTCGCCGTGATGGATTCTGTACTAAAAAAATTGTCGCGCTACGATGAAGGGTCATTTTTTTCTCCAATTTTATCCTTAACGGTGAGCTCTCGGTTGTTTCTTCTTTTTCTGGACGTTATAAACATTCGTCTTTTTCTCTTAGAAACCAGTGAATGAAGTTGGCCAAGCGTATGTAGCATTTGTCAGTAACAAATCTCGAACAAATAAGGCAGAAATAATAAACATCGACGTTATTCACAATTCGATCCACTTCGGGATATTAACGATTCTTTTTAAGAGACAGAATGGATCACTCCAGCATTGTTTCCGTTAAAAGGAGACATGCATGAACAATGAATACCTTAATTGGACAAATTTCCTATTTTTTGTGATTGAATTTGTATTCGCTTTTTGGCTCTAACCATTTCATTGTGACAAGTGAACTGATTTTTACTTTCTTAACTTGAATTTTTTGTACTTAAAATGAAAAATATCAATAAAAAAAATTACAGTTAATAAACACAAACAAATCTGATCATATAGTGAAACGTATGTCGAAAACGAGATACTCGCTTAATAAGAATGGCGACTATAGACGCTTCGTGCAGTACACTCTGGCTCTGCTAAATGATACAATTGACTCTTTCAGCCATAAGCTCGAATGTTTCCCATGACAACCCTCTTTTAGGATGTACGATAGCATTAAAAAGTGATCCTCTTCTTTAAAGAATGAATTGCGTGCCATTTGAACAAGAAGTAATTAAGAGAATCTTTGCTGATATTTTTATCCTCTGGCCAGACCATGTATTTTTAATAGGTGGCGTCCCCTAAGTTTGACCGCTTTTGATTGGCATTTCTCCCATTGCTTCATGTCGTCAGACCACGTACTGGTATGTGGCCATGATGCGATGACTCATCGAATCAAAAGCGGATTGCCGTATGCAGTAATGCACTTGGAAATCAAAAAAGTGATCCTCAGGCTAGCGAAACAAAAAGTAGTTTAAAATCTTCTTTA